CCAGCCCCCCTGCCCGAGCCCCCCACACCCGCTCCCCCCCAGCACCCCCTGCTCAGCCCCCACCCCAGCGCCCCCTGGCAAGCCCCCACCCCGCTTCCCCCAGCCCAGCGCCCCCTGCTGCCCCCCCGCCCCCTGCCGAACCCCCCACCCTGACGGCCAGGGCCGTTACCTCGCCATCAGGATGGGGGTCGGGGGACGGCGGCTTCGGCTCGGCTCCGCCAGGCGCTGTGGGGCCGGGCTGCTCCACTGGGAATGGAGAGAGGAAGCGAAAGGTGACGGAGGCCAGGGTTTGGGCCACCCAGCCCCCCCAGATGGGAGCCGGCGCCCCCTAGAGGGGTCAGGCCCCTGGCCCATTTCCTGCCCCCCTGAGCAATGCGATCCCAGCCAGTCCCTGCCCTGGGGCCGGGTGGGAGTGTAACGAAGTGGGGTTTTATTCATCTCATTATGTTGCGTGCGAGTCTTCCTGTCCCAGACTTACGCCGCGTGTGCCTCAGTTTCCCTGTGCGCTGCACCGACACTTCGGGGGTGGGAATTGGGGGTGAGTTTTGCTGGGGCAGGTGAGGCTGCCCAGCTGTCTGCACCTCTGTGACCTGGGACCCAGGAGGGGTGCGACCAGGTGACACCTTTGGCCCGGGAAGCGAGAGGAGGAGGAGGAGCAAAGGGGGATGTCAGAAGTGGGGTGGCTGGAGGTCTGCGAGGGGGGGCTGGAGGGGGAAATCCAGGCCCAGGACTCCCCAGGACGGACTTGGCTGAAAGTCCCTGATTTCTGTGCTAACAGGCTCTGCCCCACGCCCTGATCCTGTCGCCTGATAAACCTTCTGTGTCCCCGGCTGGCTGAGAGTCACGTCTGACTGCGGAGTTGGGGGGCAGGGCCCCCTGGGCCCCCCAGGACCCCGCCCGGGCGGACGCGCTGCGGGAAGCGCACGGTGGGACGGGGGAGGCCGGATGCTCCGGGGTCAGACCCAGGGAGGTGGAAGCTGGAGACAGTCGCTCAGAGCGAGGAGGGTCCCCCCAGATCCTGCCCGGCTTTGTGGGGAGCAGGTCCCGAGCATCGCCCAGGGACCCCGTGACAGGGAGCCGGCGCCCCCTAGATGGGCCCTGCCCCATTTTCTGCCCCCGGAGCTCACCTGCTTGCTCCGGTTTTCCATCCATTTCTGTCACCATGGGGGTTGCGCTGGGGGGGGGACGGGGACAGTTAGAGGATTTCCATAAGTTAGGGAAACACCGGGGGTAGTCCCGCGCGCTGCGCGCTC